GCCAATTATATTATTATAGTAGATGATTTTTATTTTATTATGAAAGACATTATTGAGTATTATTATTTGTTTTATAGAATTTAGATATGTCAACTAAATGTTATCAAGTTTTGTTATTGTTTTCTTTGTTGGCTTATCATAAACAACTAGTCTTTTGATTTTAGAAACTTGATTGGCAATTAATATCCAAGTGTAGGTTACAGGTGCAATATTCATTAGGCTTTTAAGGGTTTTCTTCAATACAAAATTTAGAACATAACTCTATTATACCTTTACATAATTATATAAAAATATATGTGCATATTATTAATTTCATACCTAGGTATATTTTTGAGTGCTTAACTTTAAATTTTAATATTTTTAAAGACCTAAGCATTCCAAAACTACTTACACTTACCAATCTAGCCAAATCTCATTGCACTAAATTTTATTTAATTACAATTTTATTTTAAACACTCATACCAATCCTTTAATCAAATGACTATCCTCTGTATATTTCCCTTATAATATTCCTAGAAGACTATGTCCTAGGTATAAAATAAAATTTTTTTTTTTAAATTTATGGTATTCTTCATTAGGTACTTATTTGTAACTGGTATTAAAAATGAAATTATTTAGGCATATCATTAATATTTTTTATTGATAAGTAAATTTGCTCACCATGAGAAGTGTTGAAAAAGCCTACCTATTACCATGGACAGATAGTCACTTTTTTTGTTATAGAGAAAATTTATAAAAGCATATTTAAAAATTCATATATATTTTATTTGTTTTAGCAATATTGTTACCAATTTATACATTAATTTTATAAAAATGTTATTTGCAACTAGAGTCAAACTAATGAGTTTTTCTTACAGGATAGAATTAGTGTTTTATTCTATTTATGCAAAATATTTTGCCATATAATAATTTACTTTTTCTTGTAGGTATCTTGTTAAAAATAATTAATGTGCTTAAAGCATATTTTTATAATTTTGTATAGGTTTTTAGAGCATTTTAGCATCATATTTCGCTTTTTTTAGAATAAAAATATGAACCTTAGTGATAGTAATTATTACTTATTAGGTACCTACTTAATTATTAAAATATGATATGGTATATACAAATATTAAACCTACAGTTGTATATATTTATTAAATATTAAGATCATTAAAACCATAATGTATAACATATATATATTTATTTTTCAAACTTTTTAGATTCCTTGTCACTATTTATTAATGATACCTACTTGTAGCCAAACTCAATATATTATACAAATAAAATGTTATCTAGTACCTAGGCGCAGTATACAGTTAATAAAATGGCTCGTAAATTGGTTATCTTCTTAAAACTAAAACTAAACCTTAATTTATTTTATTAATATATTACAATGTTGCTTTATGAAGTGGGCAGTTTTAGATTTTTGAATCGTATGTTATATTTAATGTATAAATGTTTAATTTTAATTTGTTGGTATTTTTATACTGGGTACATTTTAATATAATAATGTTTTAAATGTTTGTTTTAGTCAGAGACATACTGTATGTTAGTATTTTAAGTTATTATATAGGTAATAATTAAAATATTAATATATCTACCTACTTATATATTATGTGTCTGTTGGTATAAATTATAAATTCTGATATCCTTGTATTTTGTCCTTGAAACAAAATAATCATGGGTATAGCTGCTTAGAAAACTAAGTCATCAATATTGCAAAGGACTTTATGGCGACATCATATAGACATTATTTCAACCCTATTCTTTAGTGCATAAATTATTGTGTTTAAGTATAAATAATGATAATACCCTCGATAATACCTACCTATTTCAATCGATTTTAAAATGTCAGTTTTTGAATTGTAAATTGACTATTGCCTTATTTTAAAAACTACATGTTGACAGGTATGGCAATATATTAAGTGTAATGGCTATATTAATAATAACTGTAGAACATTAATAGGTTTTAAGAATTTAATGATTCTATTAAGTGTGTGCATAGAAATGTCTTTCTTTCTTGCTTTCATAATACAAAACAAAGTTTGTTTTTGAATTCTCCTTATAAATTTATATTGCAGTACTTTGGTAAATTATTTTGGTAGGTACTAAGTAAGTTTCAACACATCTCTATGTAATATTTACTTGTGATTTTTATTTTAGAAACAATTATGAGCTACCTCAACACGTTAGAGTAGATTCAATTACACAAATGTATTTAAATCTGTAATTCTTTTTGCTTGAATTAACCATTTATTTTATAACTTTGACATTTTCATTTTTTATCTAAATTTGTGTCATGTATAGATGAGATACATAGAACAAGTGTTCTGTTAATATTAAGATAATCATTTACATTATACCTTGGTTATAAATAATTTTATTCACGTTGATTTCTAGGACATACTTTTTGGCTATTGCTAATTAAATTCTGTTGGAGGAGGTGGTACCTACTCCCTCTATTTACATTATGGTCATCAATTATTTATATCCATTTCTACCTAATTAGAATTCTATAACATAGTTGATTTATCATAAAATTGTTTATAGTCATCAGGGTCATGCAATGGTATATTTTAATTGATTACCGCATCACAATGATAGTTATAACTGACAAACATTTCTGAATAAGTTATTTTATAAATTATGTTTTATTTAAATACCAGGTAATTTAGATAGTTTTAATATGTTGTTTATACAACATTAATATACAGTGATACCTAAGATTTGTAAATAAATGTAATAACCTACTTAATATTAATTTGGTTTCAAATTATTTGATAAGGACAATGAACATGAGGTATTATAAAATAGATTCCTTTATTTATTTATTTAGTTAATACATTAATTAAAATATTGTATTATTTACCAAACAAATTAAACCACTTATTACAGAAATGATGAATACCATATTCATAAATCCACCAGTTTGCAAATATAAAAATTAATGATCTATCATCATACATAGGTATGAAATTTAATTTGAAAATATTTTAAACAATTTGAGAGAGTACTTATAGAGTTTAGGTTTAAAATACATTTTTAAAAAAGTATTTATAATATGTAGGTATTCACATAGAATATACATTGGCTCATTGAAGCAGAACATTATATTATTAAAAAAAAAAATATATTAAATAGTAGTCTGGCCAAGTTAAAAGTATTAGTTGTGATGAATTAAATTAAGTAGGCTTAAAGAAGTTAGTTGGTGAAAGTAATTTAAAACTAGATATGGAACAGTAGTCATTCTGAAAACTATTCAATGACACTAACCATGACATAAATCATGCTCATGTACCATCACAAAACAGTACCTACAAAAAATAAGGATATAATCAGTATTAAATAGCATTGTGTTTTGATTATTATTTTGATACTGGTTTCATAGTCTGAAATAATTTTACTTTTCTCTATTATTGTTTGTTTGAAGAATAATATATATAACAAGACAACATGTATTATCTACTATATTTACCAACAAACTTGCTCCTTCCTTTTTTTTCTAATTTCTAATTTCTGCTTTTTTTTTTTTAGGTCCTAGATCAATAATACTATTAATATAACTTTCTGAAGACTACCTATTGAGGAATTATAACTGAGTGATGTAAGTATAATAATTTATTTGCAGTAGTAATATAGTTGACCCTAATATTAAACAAAAATTTTATGATTTTAAAAAAATGAATAAAAAATAATTAACTTGGCATTTTAAATTCTGGGCAAAGCTGTGGAATGTAATGGTTTTATGTTTTTTTTTTTTTATTAGAATTTTATCTTTGAGTGTGGTTGGTTTCTGGGAGCAAATACTACTACCTATATCTATATCTAGTTGTTACTTTCGATGGATATAGAGTAAAACAAAAAAAAAAAAATTAAAAACAGGAATTAATAGAAAAAAAAAATAGAAATTTATTAGCATTTACAAAATAGGATTTAAGTTTCAAAGTATTTTGATTCTTTTTGTGCTATTATAAACACCCGTTTGTGATTGTTGACACTTATTTATTTTTTTTTGATTTTTGTATAACATTTTTGTTTTTAGTAAACATTTATTATATGTGATAAATCATTCAACTGATAAGTTGAACAACTCTTGTAAATATATCAAAATGCATGCTAGAACTTTTTTTTAAAGTTTTTCACAAATATGATCAAAATACTGAAAATTAACTAGTTATTTTGTAGATAAAATTCTTAAAATTTTAAATTTTAACACCTAAGGTTTGAAAATTGAATGCAAGATTTAAATACAAATCTGAATGTTTAAACTATATATAACAATTTTAGTTATATGGATGTACCTAATTCAAAAAATACTATTCACCGTGACTTGAAACATTTACATGTCTTATAATTTACTATACACTATGATATTTTCAAAATATTAAGATTAATTACCTATTTATATCTCAAATCTATTCATTCAATTCTATGTTAAGTATTGGTATTAACTCAAAAGTTAATAACAATAATATTTAATATAAATATATACTATTATATTAATTAAATCTACTCATCACAAACAAAAATATATATACCTATGTAATAAGATTTACTCAGTAATATAGGCAGACAATCTACTGAGATTAATTTTTGTATGCAGTAATTGAGTTAAAATTGAACACATACATGACCTCTCAATGACCAAGGTACTCTCAAAGTTACCTACCTACTATATAGCAAAGCAGGTACCTGGGCTTTTTTTAGTAACGTTTGCTTTCTACAGTCATTTTTTTAAAATGAATTAATTTTTATTTAAGGCATATTTTAGGTATTTTTAATATATAAATATTTTGGAGAATAGTGGAAGTATCTCACCATTTAAATGAATGTTGCTATTGACTTACTATGAATACTATGTACCTACCTACATTACTTTGGTTCTCTTTTCATCTGTATAATCCGTTTTTTGTAAATGTTTATATATTTTAATTAAAATTTAATTGTTAGATTAAATATTAATTAATATTAATATGAAAATATTTTATGTTTCAGAACAGCCAACAGTTATAAGAAATGCCATGATAGGACGATTGTATTCTTTAATTTTATCGCTTGGCAGCCTTACATTAATCACATTTTGTTTGTGGTCAGCATGGAGCAAGATAGCCAATGTCGACGAATCACATGTAGGCCATGTCGAATATCGTATACTTACCATAGAAAATGTTACCTCAAAACCATTCGAGTTACATTCTTTGGCCGATACGGACCTTCACTCTTTAATCGATTTGCCATCTTTCAATTTCAATATAAACCAAAAGGTATGCAACAACAACACTAAATTGATAATGGCTTTAGTTCATACTGCTCCTGGACATTATGCTAAACGTCAGGCTATAAGAGAGACATGGGCAAAGATGATACCAACATTATTTTTTATGGGTCTCCCAGATTCAAACATTACTCAAAGCGATGTTGTCTTAGAAAATAAAATGTACAGTGATATTATCCAAGGCGATTTTATAGATTGTTACCGTAATTTAACTTATAAACATGTGATGGTACTAAAATGGACTTTGTACTATTGTCCTTGTGCCAGGTATTTGCTCAAAACTGATGATGATACATTGGTTAATGCACCATATTTATTGGAAATACTCAATCATAGATTATCACCTTTAGGAGCACGAAATTTGCTTATGTGCCAACTCATGTTTTCAAGTATGGTGAAACGTTCATATCGATCTAAATGGAGAGTTTCATATTCAGAATATCCAAATCGTTGGTATCCAATTTATTGTAGAGGCTGGGCGATAGTGTATTCGCCAGATGTAATTTATAAACTATACACAGAAGCACAAGTGTCTCCATATTTTTGGATTGACGATGTTCACATAACTGGTACAATAGCTGATAAACAAAATATAACTCAAACAGATTTAGGAACATTAGCAGTTGATGAATCTGATGTGCTGGGCGATAAAAATATTAGTCGCAAGTTTTTATTTTGCTTACTAACTAAAGCAGATCAGTCAATGAGAACATTTTGGAAAACTCTTTTACAATCAAATGATACTGATGTTTCATCTTCAACCAACCTTGGGCTTGACGAAAATGTTGGTAATAAATAATAACTAAACAAATATGAGTAATACATAATAATTTTTTAGAAGATTGAATAATGAATTGTGATAAAGTAGCCTGTAAACAAGTTATTTGTTATTATTTTATTTTTATTTTAGGAAGTTATATGAGTAGGTATTTTTAAATAAGGCTGATATTAAAATTGAGAGTTATAAAACAATGTGTATGTATAAATTATAATATAATTTTATTTTAGATACTTAGGTACCTAATTATATAGTGTGAACTGTGAAGCGCTACAAATTATCTTTAAGGGGTGTTTAATATAAAACGTTTCAAGTGATATATTTATAGACATTGATGTATACTAATACAATATATTATATAGTATAATTTTCATTTATAATGATATACTAATTAATTACATACATTTTAAATAACCATATAATTTGTAAAATGTACATATATAATTACTAATGTATTGTTATATCTTATTTAATTTTAATTATTAATATCCCTTAATAATTTTAAAAATGTTAAAACCATGTGTACCTATTAAATAATAAAATAAAAATAGTATTAACAATACATAGATTCTGTTTACTTATAGCTTAAAAATAAAAAATTTATTTTGATGAAGTACATAAATATTTGTGAAAAGAAGTGAATATAAAAGATACATCATGAAATCATTGGTTCGAATAAACATAGTGACGGCAGCGTAAAACAAAATAGTAAGGTTTTCATGATTTTAAATTATTATTAGAGTGTAGTTTGACAAACTTTAAACAATAATTTCTGTTCTTCAACCCCAAATTTTCAAATGTTATCGATTAAATATTTATATGTAATATAAATAAAAAAGCCAATTGAATTTTATAAGTTTAATTTTAATCTCATGAAAACTGGTGAATTTGTATAAACTATGTCCAAAGATGGGACAGCATTTCACCATTACTCAAATGCGCCAATAGTAGGTATTAGCTATTTCTTTAATTAATTAATATTATATTCCTATCCAAAATAATAAGTTTAAATCACTTGAAATATTTTAATATTTAACATCTCTAGCAAAGCTAAATAATGTGTTATGTAGGTAAACGTTTTAGTGATAATTTTTGTTTTTCAGTTTAAGCAAATAAAATGTATTTCATTTTGATTATTAAATTGTTTGCATTCCAAGAAAATATGTACCTCAAAGTAAACTTTTGTTTTGTATTACCTTCTATATGAACATTTTTCTGGCTTCAGCTTATTATCCCACATGTAATTGAAAATCATAGACCTTATACTACTAGGCAAGAACTTTGTTTACCAAAAGCATTACGAGTGGCGTAACAACATCCCGCATTTAACGACAAAATACAATAATATAAATATCTACTACCTCGCACTACCATCATATTGAGTAATCTAGTAATAAAATAGTGTCCTCTATGTTGTTACGCTTTCCACATGCATTGCTTGTCTAGTAGTATGAGGTCCATGTTGTAAATCATAGTTCAAATGTTATTGATAAAACTCAAATACTTAGATAAAATTATATCACAAATTGTTTTAATAATTCCTGATATCATTTTTTTATAACCCAACAATTAAAGCCATAAAACCAAGAGAACTAAATAATCAGCTGTGGTAAACTTCTTTAGTTTTAGAAATTATCGTAACCATTCATTGTATCCTAACATCCATAAAAGTATCCTAAATTTCAATATAATTTCTTTAAATCTGTTTACAAATCAGTCTTTTTCTTGATTTTATTTTTATGTATGCTAATATAATTTTGAATACATTCTGAAAAGCAAAGATTAAAGACTAATTACTACAATTTTAATTGTTATCACTGTGCTTACCTTTAACTATTTTAACATACCTTTTGGAGGTAAATGTTCTATAAATATGATTGTATGATTGTAAAACTTAATAGCAGAAACTAACTTAATAGCTTAACTCAATAGCAGATGATTAAATAAATTTAACCTAGTAATTATGCACCACCAATCTGCCACAAATAAGTTAATTTATGTTTTTTATTTTAAATTTCTAAAATGTCACTGTTGATTTTCCTTAACTTGGAATAATATAAGGTTTGAATAAAAAAGCTTTTGATATTGTAATGAATTTTTTACAAATTTAATACAAATAATATCAGGTCATAATATGTCCTTATATTATGGTTTACAAACATTCATGTATAAATTAAACAAAATTAAATTAACCAATAATTTATATTGTTCTTAAATTTATATTGATAATTTGTATTAAATTTGTTTTAATCCTTGCTTTTCTGTTGCATACTTGTTCCTAATATGAGTATTAATTTTACAATTTAAATGTATTGTTGAGACTTATAATCATTATAACAAAGTATCTAAATAATAATAAAAAAAAATTTAATGTTTGAAGTTGATGTCAATAGAAGATCTCATGAGATGTACTTAAATTGAGTTGAATGTTTCAACGTAAGTTATAAATTGTTTTTGTTTTATTCGTATACTCTTAATATTATTTTAAGTTAGATATTTCTCATAAATTCAATATTTTTCTTTTATGGTGGTTATTTAAAATTAACTATACAAATTTACATGTTGTATAATGATCTATTAAAATACTTCATTTAGTTAAAAATCATTAAATTGGTGCGTTTCAAGTTTTAAGTTGTAATAATAAGGCATATCTAATTTAATAGTTGAAACTAGGATACTTTGTTTTCTACATGTATGTTTGAACATTGTATTTACTATTTACTTCAATTAATGTAAATTCTGAAGAATTTTCTGTGTTTAAATGTTTGTGCTATAAACCAGAATTTTGTTGAAAATGGTTATTTTTTATTTAGTGAGATGCCTAATTTACTAAAATCTGTGTCATTGATAAAACATGTTTTTAATAAAATTATGTATTTAAACTTTTGTTTTGTATATGTAATTAACTATTAAAAATTGTTAATGTTAAGAACATAATTGTAATTAGTATATACTATATATCAAATACCAAAAATTGTTAATTATAATTTTTTAAAAAAAATATATATATAAATTAGATTTTTTTTATTGAATTGGTGCCAAAATTTAGAACTTAGTGTCAAAAAAATGTCAGTTATAATTTGTTGCTCAATTGTCACAGTAATTATTATTTAAGTATTCACCCTATTATTTGTAACAGTTATAAATTACTTATTATCTGTTTCATATATTTTTTTTTGTTATTTATATTTCATGAAATATGTATTAGGGACCAATTTGTCTTATCACCGACAGATAAAGAATCTGGTATACATAAATGAACAAGTGACTCGAAAGAGTTCAATAAAATTATATTTCAAATGTGTTGTTAAAGATACACAGATATAATATTATGTGCTCTTCAAAAAATCAATTTTCTAAAATGTAATTTCAAAAAAACAATTATGAACTATGAAGTATGTTTTAAAAAAAGTTAAAGTTGAATTACATTAGTTGTGTATTGTGTTTATATATTTTACTTGTGTATAACATACTTATATTTGTCTGCAACACATTCCTTAAAATATATTTCGAATGCCTAATACTATGTCGGTAATGAAATACTGTTTATAATCACTGATAATACAAATTATTAATTGATTTGAGTTTTTGATTCTGGCGTTTTTATTTAATGTTTATTTTATTAAAAACAAAGTTGTTATTATAATTTTTAAGAATCCTTGTTTTATTTGAAATAAAACGATTTTGATTTTGTTTGTTTGAAATAATTATTGAATTCGTCTGTGACCTGCAATTATCACAATGATTATCTTATTTTTATAATTCCTATATAGTACATTTATCTTATACTTAATAGTTTGGGGATAAATTGCGTACTATTAAATTCTGCTTTTAAATCTCAATATTATACAGAATGATTCACCAAGCATTCTTTTTCGTCAATAGCATGAGGTAGATTTTGAGTTACCTAACTTGTACTAAGGATAGTAGATCAATTATGATGGATTAAAATATGAGGGGCTAAGGCGACTTAACAATTTTAGTAACAAATTTATCAACCTTTATAATTTGAAAAAACGATCCAAGTATTGTGTCAGTCTGGCCCACCCAGCTATCCGGTATTCAGTAATTACCAGTAGGCCCTTGGATACTTTTCAATATTGGGCTCATAAGTTATAAATAAATGAGAAAATGTATATTCAAATCAATTATGAATTATGATTCATGACTCGGGTATTTAAAATTATTTTTGTACTAATAACAAAAGCTGGTTTGTTCAACACATTGTGCATATTATTCTTATATTTCTACACACAGTTAAACGTGAATGAGCATTTTAAAAAACAGGCTTAGATTTTCGATGAGCAAAAAATATCTGGATCTAGTTTAACTTGTCTGTTTATTGAAGAAGTCAGTTAGTTTATAAACAAAGATAGGGTTATTGTCACTTATTGATATGCCAGGAGCTTCCATCAATGAATTAAAAAAAGTATATATTATTTTAATAATAATTCATAAATTATTTAATTTGACTTGTTATTTATGTTAATTGTCAATTGAATTTTTGGTACTCGTCTAATATGCTACCTACCGCTACTTCGTTGGTGGTAGTATGCTACCTACCGCTACTTCGTTGGTGTAGTATGCTACCTACAGCTACTTCGTTGATGTAGTATGCTACCTACCGTAAAATGATACCTACCAAAAAAACGTTTACTGGTTATTGATTAATAACAAATTAACAACAATATTAATTACAATTTATTACTAAATAATTTATTAATTTTCATTGTCAAGTACTTTATAGTATTTCTATACGTCATTATATATTAGTATTTAGTATACATTAGGTATATATTATTTTTACATCATCCCAGAAAACTTTTAATAAGTTGTGTTGCGTATTAATGAGCCGCCACCATGAGTCTAACAAATCTGTTTTAATTCCGTATTTAGTTTTGACATGTCTCCATATACACTCGATCGTTTGTGTTTGTGCACCTGTAGTAGGATCAACAAAAAACTCGGAATGATTGACGGTTTCATGATGATATCTTTTAAGGTACTATATGCTCGCCATT